AGGGCTTAGCCAACGTGCATGGGCACGTGTTGCACCACTTCAAGATGGTTGCACAAGTGGGGAGCATCCAAGATATTGAAGGGCAAACAAATGGGCACCGACACGCGCGCTGGTGTGCAGCGGCGCGCGTGCGGGCATGCAGGTTGGCGCGCGGGCTAGCGTCTAACATAGTGTGTGCGAGCGTCTAGCTCGGCGTGCGCATGGGCATCCAGGTGGGCGTACAGCCACGGGCGCATGAGGGTTCAAACATGGCGCGCGAAGAAGGGCACTAGTGTGTGCGCCGGCGTGCACTTTGGTGTGCACCCGAGCGTGCGCACGGGCGTGCATGGCTTGGCACGCCGTGCACTCAGAGACATATATATGTGGGTGCAGATTGGTGGACTTGGCTTGGGCTAGGTTCACAAGGTTGACTCAGATGTGGCTAGAGCATGGACAACATAAAGTCATGGCTTGCGGTTACAAGAGGTGGTGGCTTAGTGGGCTCGGTTGGTTAGGGGAAGTTACTAGCACTTCCCACTCATCATGGAAAGTGGGGGAGTGCTGAGTAACCTCCCAAACATGTGGCACAATTCTGAGTGGACCAACACACAGGCGGTTAAGGGTGGTTTCCTCCACTATGCAGAATCTAACTTCTTGTGGTTACGTGGCATGAGCAGAACATGCCAACAAGTCTAGCAGCTGGGCTTGTCAACTGCATTATAGTGCTGGCTCATTTAGAGGGTGCCAGCACGACCCTAGGTGGATGGGGGTGTCATCCATCATCTTAGTGGGCAGTTATGGGCGGTTTTGAGAGTGGCATATATAATGCTAAGGTGGGCTTTGTAGAGGGAACAGAGAAGAGGGTGTGAGCCTTGGTTGTTCCTTGTACGAACTCATGTTCCTTTGTAATATGTTTAATATGAGCAAAGGTTGGGGCTTGTCCCTGTAACTGTGTGTGCCTTCTTTATATTTCTATACTGTGTGTATTGTGTTGTTGTGTTGGCTGAGACTTGGTGGTCCCAAGTGCCATTGCAGAGGCAAAAATTCGTGGTGTAATTTAGCCCTGTGACAATAAGATATAAGTGCTAGTGAAGCACTCTACCCTAAATTACACAAAGCGAGCAATAGGATGTAAGTGCTAGTGTTAGTGCTAGTGCGAGAGCGTGTAAAAGTAAACACTACTTAAGAAAATTGTGTAACTTACACTCAAATTCTAAACTCATTTTCTTACCCTAGAGCAAATTTTTACTCTTCCGTCATAATTTTTTCAGCTCTAATTTTAAGTATATTATATATCTTGTAATACAATCACAAAACTCAATTTAATTAAGAATTTGATGTATCAAAGCAATTTTTTGTAAAACAAATTCTTCAAAAAATATTTTTATTTTTTATTTTTATTTTTCGGTATTTAGCTAAGGTCTAAGGTCTAGGTCGTGAGGAGTGTAAAATAATTAGTTAAAAATTAATAAATAAAAAAAAGTTTTTTTGTTATTTTTTTATTTACGACAACCAAACATAAAAAAAAAATACATAAAATATTTTCCGAATAAATTACAATGACACGTGATTGGGGATACCTAAAAAACATATATCAGATTTATTAGATACTTAATATATATATATATATATACACACACACATATACATATACATACACACACCAGTAAAAATTATTTTATAGCTAAAAATTATGTACGTGGTCAAAATCTAAAATTTAATTTATCAGGAATTTTTTTTTTTATAAATAATTAATTAGAAATTTGTTGAGTAATTAACATTTTAAATATTTATGAAGTCATTATAAATATATATTTATAAGAAATGCGGTTTTATTATTTCTTTTATTAAAAACTTTTATATAAGATAATCAAGTATAAATAATAAAAAACTAATTGTGATCCAAAACTAAACTAAACAATAATCAAGAGAAATAATATAGCTTCTATATGTAAAAAATTAGTTGTGATCATATGAAAAAAAATTAATTGTGATCCAAAACTAAACAAAACAATAATCAAGCAAAAATAATATAGCTTCGCATGGACAAACTTAATTGTACTTGCAGAAATTTATCAAGGTTCTAATCAATTAGAGAAATCAAATTAAAAAGAGATGAGAGCAATTAAAAATTAAAGAAATAAGAGAAATTAAAACTTAAAAGAAAAAATCAGATTACTAAAAAAAAATTAATTTGTTATCAAGTTACTAATTAATTACAAAAATTCTCAAAATAGAGAAAAGGTTGCTAATCAATTACTGAATTTTCAAAATAGAGAAAAAGAATTGAAAAAAAGTTAAAAATCCACACTTTGTATGGAATAGAAAGGTAACATGAACCAACTTTTACTTATTCTTTTCTCTCTTGAAATCCTAGAAAATAGAGAAATGAATTAAAAATAAGAGAAATTTAAAATTAAAAGAAAATATTAAATTTTGTTAATTGAAAAAATTAAATTTGTTAACTAAAAAAATTCATAATGGAGAAAATCTTACTAGTTAATTATTGAAGAAGAAAAAATGAAAACACAGAAAATGAATTGAAAAAATCACTAGAGAAAAAAGGTAACGACTGAATATTTTTTCTTTTAAATTCTAACTTTGTATGGAATAGAAAATGTAACAGAAATCAAATTAAAAATCCTAACTTTTTACTTACACTTTTCTTTTGATTCTCAAATCAAAACAGAGAAAATGAATTGAAAAAATTCACAAGAGAGAAAAGGTAACCGACTGAATATTTTTTAAAAAAAAATCATAACTTTGTATGGAATAGAAAAAGATAACATAAACCAAATTAAAAATCCGAACTTTTCACTTACACTTTTCTCTTGATTCTTCTTTCTCTTTATACAAACATTAGAAGTAAGACAACAACAACTTTAGAAGCAAGACAGAGAAACTGAATTGAAAATAAGAGATATTAAAAATTAATAGAAAAACCCTATAACCAAAACAGAGATAAGAAATTGAAAAATAAGAGACATTAAAAAATAAAAGAAAAACTCGTAGAAGCAAAATCAAGAGGACGAAGAAGAAAAAAGTAAAACAGAGAAAATGAATTGAAAATAAGAGACATTAAAAATTAAAAGAAAAAACCTAGAAGCAAAATCAAAAGGACGAAGAAGAATACCTTTAATTCGTTTGGGGCAAATTATAAATTATATTATTGTAAAATTGCTATTTAGGTAAGACTTAGAAATACAATAAAATTGAGTTTATTTATAATTATTGCTGAATATTCCCTTTATTGAATCATTTTCTAATTAGATTTTCTTCAGTAGTTTAATTTTTTTAAATTAGATTTTCTTGTGTAGTTTAATTTTTTAATATTATATATTTCCGAAGAAGAATACCTTTAATTCGTTTGAGGTAAATTAGAAATTATATTATTGTAAAATTGCTATTTAGGTAAGACTTAGAAATACAATAAAATTGAGTTTATTTATAATTATTGCTAAATATTCCCTTTATTGAATCATTTTCTAATTAGATTTTCTTCTGTAGTTTAATTTTTTAATATTATGTATTTCATTCTATAATTAGATTTTCTTAAGAATTTATAATAATATAGAAATAATATGAAAAAACTTAATTGTTTAGTTGACAATAATAATATAGTATTTAGGAAAAAAAATTGAAAAGGAAATGTAAAGAAATATAATTAAAAATAAATCAATATATGTACTAAAACACAATAATATACTTATCGTAAAATTGCTATTTAGGGAAGACTTAGAAATACAATAAAATTGGATTTATTTAAAACATTATTAAATATTCCTTTTATTGAATCATTTCTTAATTAGATTTTCTTCGTAATTTAATTTTTTAATATTATATATTTCCTTCTGTAATTTGATTTCCTTATGAATTTGAATAATATGAAAAAACTTAATTGTTTAGTTGAAAATAATAATATAGTAGTTAAAACTGAAAAGGAAATCTAAAGAAATCAAATTAAATTAATATTTGTACAACACAATAATGTACTGAAACAAAATATTAATTGAAATTGAACTCTAAAGAAATCTAATTAAAAAATAAATTAATATATATACTGAAACATAATAATGTAATACAATAATATACTAAAACACAATATTATACTGTATTTCCTTCTTTAATTAGATTTCCTTATGAATTTGAAATAATATGAAAAACTTTTTTTTTTTGGAAGTTAAAGCAAATGAAGTTAAAACAACTTTATTGTTTAGTTGACAATAATAATATACTGGTTAAAATTGAAAAGGAAATCTAAATAAATATAAATTAACATATATATTGAAACACAATATTATATTTAAACTCTGTGTACTTTTAATAATAGTATATTTATATATATATATGGTAAGAAACTCACGCACCCACGTGTCCTGCAGGGGGAGAAAGGTGTTGAACCTTTGATGATTAGATACTTAATAATTATAAAGTTTGAAAAGTGGTTTGGTGGCGGTGCTTAAATTCTTTCGATTATTATTTAATAAATAATTAGTAAAATAGGGTGAAAAAATACTTATTTTTATTCGTTTTTTTATTTAAAAAATCAGCATGAATTAAAAATTCAACCACGCATATTAGTTTTCTTTCATTTTTTTCTCTTATTATTTTTTCTCATATACTATAAATAATAAGAAAAAATGGAATCTTACCAGAAAGATAAAGAATTCTAAAATATTGAAGAGTTTATAAAAATTTATGGGAGTAGAATATTTACTTGAATTCTTATACTATAAATAATAAGAAAAAATGGAATGTTACATAAAGATAAAAGAATTCTAAATAGAAATTTATGGGAGTAGAATATTTGCGTGAAAGAAAAGTAACAAGATCTTAAGAAGGCGGCATTAAGTCAAGAAAGGCATGCCTATATATAGAGATAGAACAATAAGAGTATCATTACGAATAGTAGTGATTCTAAAAATCACCAGTTTATGAGAACTACGCATCCTACCCATCGTTCATAATTTCATAGACAAAGGAACAAATCATATAAATACAATAAATATTTGAACCGATAATAAATAAATATATAATTTTATGGTTATAGTAGAATTTGAAGTACACAAGATCAAATTAAAATTTTAAAAAAATAATAATAAAACTACCATCATAATTACAAACAAGCAAAGGCAACCTAAATTGTTAATAAATTGTGAAGCTAAGTGTTGTCTCCTTTGTCGGGGCAATCAGCCCCAAGCTGTTGTCGAGTGTGTATGTATAAACTATTTCCAAACATACAAAGCCCTTCCCAACAAGTTACATGGGAAAAAAAAATAATTCTGAAAGGAAAAAGAAATAACTTGAGCCAATTTACAGACCTTAGAGAAAGCCTCCCTGTGTCCATTTGGCATCCGATTTCCCATTATGACCCACGGCCTTATTATTAGATGCCGTCTGGTAGAAATTATCATATCCATCATCATTAGAATCATCATCCCAGCCTGCCCAGTTATCCCCATTGTGTGATGCTGTTCCCCCCTTTGAGGATTCTTCCTTCCTATTGTCTTTGCTACCCCAATCATCCCAGGAGCCAGAGCTTACAGAATTAGAATGCCCATGAGATGACGGCTGATCTCCTCCAGAAGAATTCCAACCTCTAGAATTTTGTGCAAACTCATGCTGGTACCCATTTCTCTCGCCCTCATTTTGTTGCCAGCTATCAGTTTTCCAGTCTGCACCTTCTTTTGTGTACTCCTCAACCTTCTGCGAAGCCAATGCCATGACACCTCTCATGATTCCCCATGTCCTCTGTCCAATCTCTGTTGTTTTTGCAGTGACGACATTGACGGTTTCATTCACCTTGTAATCGTACCCTCCATCTTTCACCTGTAAGAAAAGGTTTAATCACGCACCTTGTTTCACTATAGATACTACCCAACTAAAGCCAAACTAACTGCATGTCCTTATCTGGTAACTTTTGCAATTCCAGGAAGTTTAGTGCATAGTCAGGTATTTGCAAAATCTTTGATAGTTAGGTCTTTTTTACATTATGTAACTGTTTATTTGATGATTGAAATAATGGAAAATATGTTCAACTAAAAGGGTGCTATTCCAGATGGGAGGAGTTCAGTTCCTTGGGAAATGAAATCAATGTTGGGAGGAGTTCAGTTCGTTGAGAAATGAAATCGACGTGTTTACATTCAATTGTGTGTTGCCAGCAGCTAGCATTCCTCATTTTCCAACTAAAGGAAGCACAAACCAGAAGTAAATCTTATACCTTACCTAACCTGCTTACCCGGGATAAAAGGTAAGTAAATCTTTTAAAATGTAGCAGCCATCCTCTCCACCTACCTCCCATCCTCTCCATCAACCTCCACTGACAATTGTGTCAGTAGAGCACCTATAAAATCCAGTCTCCTCCTTTTTTTGTTAGTCATTGTGCATCATTTAGATACTGCAACCTATATCCATTGTCTTCACCCCGTCCCTTGTCTATGACCCTTTGTATGTCATCACTTGTTGACTTTGGTACAAAGACTCACCTCTCGTGTTTTGAAATAGATCTAAACCCTCCCTAACTCCAATTGTTTCGCAATACATCAAGACCTAGGAAGCACAAATACTTTCCCAGAGTCGTGGTCCAACACGGCCATACACCATGTCTGAAACGGCTGGAAAGTAGACAGAATTTTAACTTCTTTTTTCAAATCAGATACAGCTGGAATACTACAGGATAATTCTGAGATAAGGGCAGGATACTTCTGAGCAAATTGTAAATATTCTTATGAAAATACATGGTCTGATTATAATAATAATAAAGTACAATAAAAGAAGACTTAAAAGCCCAAATTGATAACAGTCAACACTCATCAACACAGAGACACGAGAACAAGAAGGAAAATCCAGAGTCTACCTAGGGATGTATTAGGGTCAGTCAAGTTCTTGAGTTAGGGTTTTTATTTCTCTTTGTGTTCCATCTAATTGGGTGATTACATTTACATTTATAAGTTATGGGAAAGTAATAAAAAATTATTTTTTTGCATATATAAATAAATACATTATATTTTATTGTCATATTATGCTTTTGGAAATTTGATGTATCACAGAATTCATGTCATGTCGTATCCGTGCTTCATAGATCTAGACCCTTGCCAAAAGCTCCACCATTTAACCTCTCTCTTCATTTATTTGACCCTCCCCCGGAAAGATCTAGCAAAATTTAGCAATACCAAAACCAACAGTGACAAAAAGAGAGGAGGAGGACAAACAAATGAGAGAGGTCAAGTGATGAAGCTTTAGCTAGGGTCTAAATCTAAGTCACATAGAGTGGGAGCGAAAGCGAGAGAAAGTCTAAATTTTTTTTTAAAGCGGAAGCATCTTGAGAACATCTATATATTAGGTTTAAATAAAATTATACAAAGTCATTACATATATATTTTGTATTTTTTCCATATGCAAATATATTCATTATTTTTTATTCCATTAATGATATATAATAAATAAGTTAATTTTTCTCACTAATAGATGAATGGTTTGTTAAGTTTTTAGTGATATATTTTCAAACATGTATTATATATATATATATATATATATATATATATATATATATATATATATGGTAGTATAACAATGCTATACAGCTGGGCACAGGTACAGTTTAAGTAATTAATCTATATATTGAGTAATAATGTAAGTAATAAAGGCATATATGGTAATATAGGTGTTCCATATCACTGGGATTGTAACAAATTTAGCTGTATAAAGTGAATTCATATGGAAATCAATTCGCCCGTGCGGAGCTTGACCCTTTGCAAAACAATGTGAAGAGGTGGGTGTTTACACAGTGAGTGAAGAACATACAAAGGGGTAAGGGATAGAGTGAAGATAATAGGAACCAGAGAGAGAATTGGACCGTATCTAGGAAATAAGCAAGCTTGAATCTACAAATCATTTACATATCATCTTAATCACTAGTTTCTACCTGTATCACATAAACTGACAGAATTCAAACTATAAAAAAAAATTTCATACGACTTGATTATTTAAACAAAATAAAACCTCAAATACCTTGGAAGCAGCCGATTGCGCGGCAGATGCAGCAACCATAGATAACCTACCAAATCCCTATATAGGGATGCAATCAATATATGAAAAACATCAATACTTTACATCCATGTCAACTAAATCATATACATACACAGAGTTAGAGACACAATTTACCTGAGTAACAGCGGAAATAACATCCCCTTGCGAATTGCTATGCGGCATTGGAGCTGGACTCGATCCAAATCCGACGTACTTCCCGCCTTGCGAAGGCGGAAGTCCGTCGGGCCGTGATTCGTTCTCCGCCATTTTCCTGGCGAAAAAGCTCTCCTTATTGGCCGCAGAAGCCTCCAACTGCGACCGTGTATATATATCATCATTCGACGTCGACCTCGACCTCGACCTCGCCGGAACGCGTCCGCCACTCCTGAAATCACTCACCGTATGATTCCGCCTCATATCCGACGACGACCTGGACCCTCCATCATCCAAATTATCCCAACTATCCCACCCTCCATTTGCCCCAGAATTACCACCACCGCTCAACGGCGGTTTGTTCTTGCTCGCACCTAGGCTTACGGTTTCTTTCACAACCGGCGGATCACGCCACGATCGACCCTCGCCTAGGGCTTGGATTCGATCGCGGTAGATGGAGGCAGCGTTGGTGTTGTACTTGGTGACGATATCGGTCTCCTTTGGGATCCCGTACTTGGCGAGGAAGGCGTTGAGCTTTTCGTTGCCACCGGACTCCATTTTCTTGATCTGGATCTCGGACCAGGAGTCCATGGTCACGGATCGGACGAAGCTGATGTGAACACCGAGGCCTCGGTGCTTGCCGGAGCACTCTAAGCACATGAAGACACCGTAGGAGACGGAGGCCCATTGAGGGTTCTTTTGGTGACAATCGACGCAGGTCTTGTTGCCCGGTTGAGATTGCAGCTCGCGGAGCCGTCGTGATGCCGACATTGTTCGGAGGTTCCGATCAGGCCGGAGAAGAGGGGTCGGAGAATCGGAATCGGATCTGTGAGAATGCTAAACAGGAAGAAATATATACATCTAAAGAGAGAAAAGAAAGAAATTTAGAGAGAGAGAAAAAGGGTGGAGGAGGAAGGTATTTGTTTTCTGGAAAAGAAATTGTGGGGATCACCGACACCGTGAAAACGTTTGGTGTGGAGAACTGGTGGTGTACTTTGGAAAACATAAAATAATAATAATAATTATTATTATAATTATAATTATAATTAAAATTAAAAAAATGTGAAAAAGTTTGGTGTGGAGAACCGGTGGCGTGTACTTTGGAGCAGGAAAAAAAAAAAAAAAACAACAAAAAACAAATCAAAACAAACTGGTGGTGACTAATTTTGGTGTAACGTTAAAGTTAATCCGTTAAAATTTTGTTAATTTATATATTAATTATGATTAATGTACCTTCTAAAGTTGGGGGTTACAACTGGTGTATATGGTTCTATTGGCCATTGTATAACCCACAAAAATCCTTGTCCTTGAGATTCATATATTGAACAATAGGGTAGTTGAACCTACTTTCTCTCTTTTTTTCTTTTCTTTTTTTTTTTTTCCTTTTTTTTTTTTATTTATGGAAAGTTAAGATAAACCTACTTTCATACCTCATAATCACATAAAATTTGTTCAATATTATAATATGAAAAAACAGAAAAATAAAATGTTATACAAATAAAGTTTTCTTTTCTATTTCTTTTTACCTTTATAAAAGTAAAGTTGAGACCGACTATTTTCCAAGGAAGTAACTTTTATTATTATTATTATTATTAAAATCAATTAAAGTCCAAGACTACAACATTCCTTTATATATGTTGTATAATATACGTACCTATTCTTCTTTTTTCCTTTTTTTTTTTTTTTTGTTCTTATTGCTTCAAAAGCTATTTAACTCAAATTCTCATCATTTCTTTTGAGAATTATAGGTATTACGGTTGAGATATCATATCACACGATATATTAAGTGTATATATATTTTTGTTACATACTATTTATTCACATTTTCATTAGTGGCATGTTTTATCATTTGTGCCCCTAATTAGTCAGAAGTCTAAATATTAAGTCATATTCATTGATTATTATATGAAGCACTCCATTACTTGTCGGGGGTCCACTACATTAATAAAACACTCCAAAAGATTAAAACCTCCTCGTCCATAAATTATGCAAAGACTGATAAAGTTGATGATTTTCTTATACCAAATGTTAGTTTTCTTTTTTCCTTTTTTTTTTTTTTATTTTTGTTAAAAAACACATTAGGTTTACCAGTCACACTGCCCATAACGTGTTACTTCAATTCATACAACATATATATATATATACACACACATCGTAACAGAAATAGAAGAAGAATATTGCATTTCAGAAACACCATTACTGTGAAACAACATTAAACTCTTAAAACTCCTAAAATCATAAATTCCTGAGGGGAAAAACAAAGAGAAATCAATGTAATCTACATACGCAAGAAAACCCAAAACCCTAGTGTTAATTCAAACACTTTTCTTTTTTTTTTTTCCATACATATTATTGAATAAATTAATGGAATAGAAGCAAAACTCTGTTTCCAAAGGCTAGCTAGCTTAATGGATTCTGATCGTCGTCCTCCTCCACCTGCAAGAAACCCATGGCTCGAACAGCGTAAGCCGAAACGGCGACGATTAGAGCTGCAAAAACTGGAGGGACAATCCAGTCCACCTTAGACCTGTTCTTGAACATGTGAACCGGAAAACACAACACTTCCGTGGGAATATCAATTGGAAGCCTCACGGACTCCGTTGATCCGCAAGCTTGAGAGAAGGGAGAGGTCGGAGTTATGGCGAAAATAAAAGAGAACTCCGGCGAGAACGATGCCACTGCCACCGTCATCGTCAATATTGTCGTCCATATTGCGGCGTAGAGTAGCAATGGCCAGCTTGAGTTGAGTCGTTGGAGCATTGAGTTGAAGATAGAGAGAGTCATTTCAGCAACAATCGTTGGAGGATGATTGTTGAGAGTTTTTGGCTAGGTATAAGCCTGAGTTTGCTTAAAATTAAGGTGTGTTTGTGTGTGTGTGTCTATATATATATATATATATATATATATATATTACGTGGAGATGAACCTAATCTCAACTACTCCTAAGATCTAAGATTTGTAGGGAGATTTTAGTTGATGGTGGTGACTAGTGAAGGAGTTAAGAGAGCGTGACTAACTCCATGCTTAGTGCTGATCTGGTGATTTGACCAAAGTATTCTCATTTATGAGTTCGGTATAACTGGAGAGCGACGACAACCGCAATTTACAAGTGGCAAAACAGTGTACGATTGTGTATATACTGTATGTATGTGTATATGAATTTCCGTTCCATATTAAAGCAATATTTGATTTTTCAAACAATTTTTAAATATAAAGAATGATTTTTTTAATTTTGGCATGATGAGCTTGTCACTTGTGAAGATTTTTTTAACTCCAATATAATGGAATTAAAATATGAATTCAAAATATCTATACAATCAGTGAAGTCACAATCATCTAATAATTTTCCAAATGTTTATTGCAACATTTATCTGAAAACTGAGGCTTCTTTCATTTGACTTCTATGGCGAGAAGCAAACAATTCAAAAAAAAAACCACTAAATATAGACAAATACCTAACAATCTCGGTATAGACAGATTAGACTCCCAAAAAATAATAATTTGACAACTAGAAGAAATCCAGCAGCTACAACCATAATTATATTGACGGATTTATTTGTATTAAAAAACATACATTTGTATTATATTGACGGATTTAATTGACAATCTCAATCCTGAATTGAATGGGAGCGAAGCTAATGAGGGAGAAACTCTGAAAAAAATGATATACAAGCTGACTTGGCACAGTTCTTTTTACAAAGAATATGCAGTGATACATACGACAGGCTATGAGCACACAAAGACATGAATAATATTTGCCTTGGAAGCAAAATTTATTACATTCCTGCTTCCTAAATATCAAGAAGCGCTAGAGGAGAGCGCACTCTCTACCTTGAGAGTTAGGAACAGAAATGCAACCACTGCAACGAACAGAGCGGCAAGCATAACCACCACCATCGCCTGCAATGAGATGTACGGGCTAATAAAAAACACAACTGCTATTGAGGCACTCTGCCAAAGCTTGAGTTGTGCAAATGCTCCTTCCTGTCACATAAATAATACGAAATGATAGTGTAATTAAGTAAAGCAGGAGTCCTTCGTACTAATATAACAAGAATATAACACAGAATGGAAGCCACTTGTCTAAAATATAAAAATAAATATTTAATACAGAAGCCAAAACTATGATGGTTAAACCCTTTTCTGCGCGAAGCCTAAGTGTGTACTTCAAATGAGGCGCCCCGCTTCTCAAAATGAGTTCAAGCTATTGGTGTCCTTTGTAATGTTTCTAGCACTTATTCTATAAGTGAAGACTTGGTCAAGATTTCCCAAAAGGGCCAAAACTCCAGCAAGTTGACTCAAATACCAGCCAAGTTGAATCAGCTGCTTAAAACCAACACAGAAGGTTGATCTAGTTTTTCCTAAACCCTAACTTGCAACTCAGAATAACAGCTCACGAATTACAATCTGCAACAGAATATATAATCCTCACTTGGCAAATGTTGGGAGTAGAAACCTGCAATGGTGTTGTCCGGATAAGGCAGAAAAAGAGAAGAAAATAGCTTAGGGAATAAAGAAAACACGCAGGAGACGTTGTGAGCTAACCCACCGAAAGGGAGATTTTTGTGTTGTTCCGTGTACCATAGTAAAAGATGATTGAATTACCAAATTACATGAACTAAGAGTAACATGTGCAGCTCAGAACACAGAACTTATTAGTCCACTATTACTAACAGCTCACCGACTATAGTCCACAGCAGAATTAGGAATCCTCATTTGACAAAGACTAGATGCAGTGCCGTACAGAGTAATATGTGCTGTTATCTTGTGTCTGTAGTTGCTCAGAATAGCTCTTGACAAAGAAAAGAGAGAGAGAGAGAGAGATGAAAATTTCATCTACTAATCACCCCCTAGCAATTAGTGGTCAGCAACAAAATGTTTTCCAACTTCCAGTCAATCAGGAGCTAAGACTTTCATCTCCACTGGTTTTTTCCACTAATACATTCATAAACAAAATCCTAGGGACTGTTTGATCATCCTATTGACCGCTGACAATTGAGACTTATTTTCTATAGTAAGAGCAATTGATAATGCACAAACAAATACCACTCAATAAATTTCTTTCATTTCAGAAGGATGAAGTATCCGATTTTTATTATTATTATTATTATTATTATTACCATTATTATAATTATTCCTAAGCAACATATTATTAACAACCAAACAAACAGAAAGGAAACAGGACAGGCCCCTCTAACTCAACAAAACAGAGCCTGCCAAGAAGGCCCATTTCCAGAAACAGGCTAACAGAAATAACAAGGCAAAAAAAAAAAAAAAAAAAATATATATATATATACAAAAGGACTAGACAATACAAGATACAGAACCCTGAATAACAAACAATCCCAGAGACACCAACTATAGCAAGGCTGAGAATCTGAATTTTTATAGTCTCAGACCTAACTTTTCAATACTCACTAAACAAGGTTACTGGAAGGTATTTAATAATCTAAGTCCAAATTGAAAATTTTCCCTCAAATATTATTTTGTAACTTAGAGCTTTCAGTACTACAACTTCAGTATTAAAACTTATAGTTTTATCACACAAACTCTTAGCTTCACTTGTTTCAGCACTTATTGGTGCAATCATAAATATTGATGACCAGGGGGAAATTAGGAGCATAACAATCTGATCCAAAAAGCTTGGCTGGTTTTAATTTTTTTCACTCAAACTATAATCTATGATACAAAGGACATAACTGGAATTGATTAAAGATAGGCTGGTTAATTAGAAACATTAAAAAGTTATTCCACTGCATATATGCAAAATAATAACTGAATTAGAATGGTTAAGCACTGAATCATGCAACAATTAGTCAATAACTCTCGAATTGTGTAATAGTATGCACATGAAAAGATGGAGTATATATTGACATGTCAAGGGTATAATGAGCCATGGATTAGGTGAAGAAATAACCAAGAGACATATGATGCATGCAACTAAAGGAATAAAAAATTGCCATCTAAAAGTGAGCCACATAGGGCTTAGAATGGAAATAGATTGATTTTACAGAGATTAATTAGGAATTGAAAAAAAAAAATGACTGCACAAAAGCTTAGCAAAAAAAAAAAAAAAAAATCTTTACCGTATCATTCTTGAAGAGCATTGCAATTAAAGCATTGAGCTGCGTATTGAATACTCCATCACCAATGCCCAATATGGTCGCCATGAGAAGTGGATATATTACACTAAGAACTCCACTGCTTGTGCTGCACAATAAAACAGTAAAACAACGGATGGAAAGGATTAAAACAGCTTCAGATATATATTGTATTTGAAACCTTCAGATTCTACAAAATTTTAGGATAACTAATAGAACTAACCTGTAAAAAAGCAGAAGCCAGAGCAGTACAATAGCTTGAACAAAAGCACCGCCAGAAACTATGAAAGTGACTGACTTGAGACCAGAAGTAAGTCGGCCAGCAACCAGTGAACACTGACCCAAGTTCAACCAAAGAAAAGAAAAAGGTCAGACTGAAAAACTCAATGATTCGAATAAGCATATCTTATACACCAAATAGGGTTTTCTCAGCCTCTGGACTGCTACTGAGCTTGGGTTGTTAGGATATCTACTGGACTACATCAAAATTGAACAATTCCTTCAAACGAATGACCTTAATGATGACAGGATAAATTGCTGGGAAAAAGTTATTCTCAGCTTTTAGCCTTTTAAATGCACACACCATTGGAAAAATAAGACCATAGGAAAAGCACAACACATCTAAATTATGCATAGGAGTAATCCAACATGATTTTCAACCCGATTTATCTCACTCGTGTTTGAACATTGGTTAGGTAGCTAGGGTGTAAGGTTAAGGTTGGGCTTGAATTGAAACGTCTATAACTTGAGTTGGGCTTAGGTTAACCTACTAAATTTGTCCAAGTTGTAACGTTATTTTCGCCCCCTTTTCTTTTTCCTTTCTTATAGAAGTAAGGGTGGTGGCTGGTGAGGTGAAGGTCGCTTGTTTCAAACTTTACTATTACTTTTTCCAACTCATCTAAATGAAAGAACTGAAAAGGATCGCCTTGTCCAAAATTGATATATCTGAAACAGATAAAACGTACTTTAAAAGGCAATATGAATTTACTCATATCTGCATTATTATACTTACTATTGCATCAGAAGCCCCATACACTGCCATTGCACCACCCACACCAGACATGCCAAGGGCAGGTTTAACAACATCCTTGGTGAATTCAGCCCTAAAATGAAAAAACATGATCCACACTCAATAGAAAAAAAAAAATTGGTGCAACTAGTGCACAAAATCATAATGGACTACAATAAAATATTTACAATAATTTGATCATGTATTTACCACACAAATGCTTGTTGTAAGCCTGAATATGCAATAAGGGGGATGATCAAAAGCATTCGTACATCAAACAATGGAGTGATGACAGACTTTGACAGATAAACCACGGAAGAATAGAAACTGACAGAAGAACTGGATCGTCCCTCCTCACCCTTACCATCCTTCTTATGTAAGAAGCACATGAGTATGGTACCTAAGGTCATACTGCAAAGGAACACAATGAAAAGGATAGTAGTGCCTCTGGTACTACCCCCCTGCAGAAATGTGAGAGAATGAGAAAATCATATGCAGCGCTTTAAAGAATATGAAATTATAAATTATGATGTAGGAAAGAATACAATTGCTTAAAATTAACCAAAATAAAGGACAGTTAACATGTATATATTCTTGTCATGTATGTGGACTGAAATTGACATTTCAATGCGAGTTAAGGGACCAAAAGTCTCATACAACTGTTTCTAACACAGACAACATTTGAATTTGGATGAATGAATCAAGATTGCATTCAAATTCATTTTGCATATTCCCCATCTTACTTAATAAAATTACATGCACTTAAAAGTTCAACCCTCAAAGGCCATGATGCTTAGGCACGAGTTGGGCAACTACTCACCACTGTACAACAACAACAACCAAACCTTTTCCCAATTATTTGGGGATGGCTACATGAATCCTATGTTTCCATTCCACCCTATTTAAGGCCATACCCTCATCCAACTACTCACCACTGTGTTTCAAGAAAACAAAAAGGGAAAAGAAAGAAAGAAATAACAAAAAATAAAAAAAACAAAAATGATGTCTAGGCAAGAAGATGCATCGAAAGCACTTCCTACAAGGCAGACCAGTTTAAAACCTGAAGTGTCAAGACTCCGAAAGTTAATAATATTTTCCATTGCAATAAACACCTCCGAAATCATTTAGAAGTCGGCAATGTGTTTTTTTTTTTATTTATTTCTTTTCCTTTAACTTATATCTCTTTTTCTTTGGGAGGGCAAAGAAGTGGTGGATATCTAAGAAATCACATGGAGATCTATGATTTAATCAGCTGACGGGTGTAGTTAATTCTTCTCAGTCCATCAAGGACCAGCCGGTTCTATAGCCATCAATTTGTAAAATTGGTGATAGAATCAAACCACATTAATACTTTTCCCTTGGTTACCCATGAGTATGCTTCTAACTCACATATTTTCAGTTGACCACTAGAATAAACTAATTAATTATTTCAAAAAATTCGTAAAAGACAATGGTTAGCCCAAAGACTCAGGAAATCTTTGAAAAGAATAAATAAGTTTGCATATTTTCAAATGAACCCAAGAGAGCTCATAGGAATGCAGAGAGACGCAAAACAAATTTGAAATTTTTTATCAGAAAGTCAGAACCTTTTTTTTTTTCAATTGCTGCCTAATAGCTATATAATTGCATAACAGTAGCAAAAGGAACTGTATTAAAGTTCTCACAATCATTCCAGTGGGATGCATTTAGTAATAAGAAAAATAAATCATTACAAACAAAGAGATTGAGCACACAAATCAAAGCTTGGAATCATATGCACACATACTGTTCCATCTCTCAACAGAGCAAGCGAGATAAGATTTCCAACGAACTGCAAAAATTAGCACAAAGTAAAAATTGTTATAAAGAATCACAACTACTATAAATGTGATAAGTAATCACAATTTAAATGCATTTTATTACAACAAACAAACTAAAATTTCCAGAAGAAAATTAAATGCTGCACCTGGTGACTGGCAAACATTCCCCAAAATTCTCCATTGAATTTACCAATTACAGTACCTTCATGCAAGTTGCAATCATTTGCATGACTGCGTGCCGTTGAAGTAAGATATGTCCCCTGATGAGCCCATAATAAGGTTAGGGAAGAAGTTATTAGCTTCGGTTACCATCAATTATAGAAAATTTGAAATATTTAGGAGATGGAATTGAACCTGTCCAACCCATATTATTGAAGCAGCAAACCCAAGATACAAGGAAGCTGGCACCATGGTATACCTACAAGAAAAATCATCAAAAATTTAAGTACATAAAACTTCATGAAATTAATAAAGAAATAGCAACTTCTACACATTATCGCATATGCATGAGAAATTAGAACCCAACTGTTTGCATTGTATTTAAACTATCTTGAAGTCTAACAACAAAAACAAAAGTTACAAAACACACACAAACCCACCATATTTTTGATTCCTTAAACAAATCAAACTTTATATAAATGAATCCGTAAAAGAGAATAAAGCTCACTTTATTTTTCTTTCTTTCTTTCTTTCCTTTTTTTTTTTTTTTTTTTTTTTTTTTTCTGATAAGTAACATACAGCTCACTATTTTTGGACAGAAGTACAAGAGATGTATATATTGAATTATTATAGCTTTTGTAAATAATTCCTCAAAATGAAAAGAACAAACAAATTCCAGAACACCGACATAAAAATCCACTTTTGAGGGGTAATTTTGTCATTCTATATTTTAACAAAAAAATAAAAATCAAGTGAGAGAGTGCTTTGATTCCGATCTATAGAACTCATTTTTATAAATTTCACGACTCTTTAGGCATCCAATGTGTCGCACATACACACAAGCTACAGGCTGCAACCTAATTGTATCTAAAAAAAACCCAGAAAAAGAGGCTTCTCATCAACTCTACTGAGTTTAATCTATCAACAAAGAGAAACTAATTACCAGGATGGCTTCAAATTTGCAGCTATGAACAACCAATACCCAGTAGTCCCAAGAATCAGAGCATTCTTGGACCCCAGCACACGAACCACTAGTGAAGCAACCAATGAAAAAAACGTAAAAGAAGTATACAATATCCCAAGTGAAATCGTCCCCAAATCATCCTCCTGAAACCAATCAAATCTCAAAATCAGCAAATATATATATATATATATATATATCATTTCAGTATATTCTCAAAGAATTAGGAAAAAATCAAAAGGAAATTTAGCATCCAAAACTTTAACGCTAAGAGCAAGAATCACCGAAGTAAAAAACTGACAGTATTGACGGTACTCTCCAAATTCTGAGCAGCACCGTAGGCCAAGAAAATCAACAAGAACGCCCAGCTCAGAAGATGGACATCTCTTGGATGGTTCTCCTTTAGGGTTTGACTTTGCGAGGGTTCAACTACCAACGGTGCTTCTTCATCCATGACTTTTGAGAGCACAAGACTCAATTCAATAGATTACACAACGTTGAGATATATATATACAAATATTATACATATCTAAACTCTAGAAATGGATGGTAGGGTATAAAAGAGAGTGCCGGCGAGAGTGTTATGGAGTAGTGGACAAGCGGAAGAGTTAGAAATTGTGGAAAGTATCGAAGAATCTGCAGATGAGACAGAAGGCGTTGAGAGAGAAAGAAGGAGGGGTGCTTGAGAAGTGCATTTTTTTTAGTTTTCTGTTTGGTTTGTGAGAAAATATAAAGGGAATAGTGGTGCTCGTCAGAGCGAAACTATTATTAGATGGTCAGCCACATTGACATGGTGGCCATCTAATAATTTGTCCCTCATTTTTTATTCCTCAACTTCGACAGTGGCTTTTTGGTCCTAAGAAGTCGAAACTTTTTTATCCTAATTCCTAAAATTTTCATTCCTATCATAAATTTCCAACTTATTTAAAAACACTCATAATATTTTAAAAAATAATCACATTAACCCTATGTGTTTGACCCATAGGGATGGCAAATTCCCTATCCCTGCTAGGCCCCTCCCCGCCCCGTTTATAGCGGAGATGAGAATCCTTTTAGCTAAATGAGGATGGGAATGGGGCCAATTTATAAATCCTCACCGGGACCGAGGATGAGGTAAACCCGCCCCGATTAAGTGTGAAGTTACTAATATATCCCTACATATAATAATTTATTACTAAATTAGATTTATTATATATATAAAAATAAGAAAAAATATGTTTTTTTTTTTAATAAAAAAAATTATGAGGCCAGGGATGGGGATAAAGTGGCGGGGGCGGGAGCGAGTATGGAGATTCTGGCAAAATTTTAAGCGGGGATGGAGAATGAAAAATGTAGCGGGATGGGAATGGGGAATGGAATCCCCGCCCCGCCCCGGTCCGTTGTCATCCCTATTGACCCATTAATTGAGTTATAAAATGTCAAATTTGACCTTCTTATTTAATATTTAATATTTAATAAAAAATATAATTATTATTTTTACAATTACAAAAATACCCCTATCTTCTTCCTCCTCTTCCCCCATTTCTATCTCTCTCAAAATCTCACCTAGATTCACTTGTTAGATTCAACCTAAAAATAGGATGTGATATCTTTTTCGATATAGTTTGAACCTTGATTCGGTCGCGCGCTGTGATGCTGTCACCAACATTACGCAGTTCACCGTAAGCAATGATCCGCGCCACAGGCTAGCGATTCCCTAGCTCTTTCTCATCTGTGAAACTGCGTCGACTACACTCTTGTAGTTTCGGTGTTAAGCCGACGGGCGACTCCCGTCGGCTTGCACGCTGACCATGGCAACGTCGGCTGCGTTGCCGACACCGACGCCGATTCCGCTGGCGCCTATCTTGCGCACAAGGGACATGTTACCTGTGTTCGGGTGGGTCAGTTTTGCTTAGGGATGTCGTACAGACCCAACCGGGTGGTGGAGTAAAAAGTCTGGCGGAGGGCGGTGGCGGAAACACCGGAAAATAAGGCGGCGATATTGTCTTGTTGGATGATCCGGATCTCGATGGCGATTGGGCCCACACGTGCTACCGGAGGGGGCTGAGGAACGCGGATGTTGTTTGAAGAGGCGTTCTGGAAGGCGAGCGCGGGCCGGATCTGGACATTCGCGTTTGAGGCATGGTTCTCGCCCTGGAGTTGCATTTGAACCTTTGATTAGATCAAGTGGGTGAGGGTACAGCCCGCAACGATCAAAGCTATGCCTCCTTCAACAAAACCTTTGACACCCATGTCAGATTTTCTCAGAAAATTTGAATAATTCCCAGCCGAGAAAATGAATTGGAGGAGATAGAATCTGAGTGTTATGGGTGTTCATGAAAATCAACAAGAGAGAGGTGAGAGTTTTACGGAGAGAAAGGGGTGAAGAAGAAGACAACCCCATCTTTACAGGGTATTTTTGTAATTTTAAAAATTAATTTTTAAGTTTTAATTTAAAATTAAATATTAAGGCCAAATTTGTCATTTTACCGTCCAATAAATGAGTAATGAGTTGCGGATATTAGCGGCAATGTGATATTTTTTTTGAAAGTATATGAAGCTTTCTGAAATAAATTGAAGGTTCAGGATCAAAATTAGAAAATAATAGGGTTTTTACGAAATTAGCCCTTTAAAAAACTAATACAAATTATATATATATATATTTTTTAGAAATTTTGAAATTATTATGAGTAATTATGACATGAAATCTCATGATTTTGCCCAATAAATTCAGAATACTGTTTTAAAAAAATTAATAAATAAATTCAGAATAAAACCATCAAAATCCAATTTTTTACTTTACATAGAGTTCTATTTCATTTCTTTTCTTTTTTCTGGCAACTGCATCAATTACTTCGGGAACTCAAAGCAGAGAAAATACCACAATTTCGGTTTTAAAAGTAGTGCTTCTTGAATCCATTACATAAAAACAATGCATATTTTCAATTTTTAAAAATAATCCATTCCCTTCGTTTTGACTTTTCCTAATAATATAATAAACAAATTTTAATTTGCATGAAACATGAGAACAACATATGTAAATATAATCATCATTTTTTAGAATTGTTTTGGGATGTATCTAACACCTTTCTCATGCATAAACAAGCCCTTTAAATCCACTATCTTTTTATATTGACTAATTAATAGTTACTATTAGAAAACAAATTACAACTATAATCTTAAAAACAAAGCTAATTCTCCAAAGAAAATCCAATTAAAAAAAAAAAAAAAATGTCATTGCAGCAGATGAATCAGTATGCTTGCATCTCTTCTGATGTTCATTCTTCCATAAAAAATCAGATTATTAAGAGTTGTTTCAAACAACTTTACTTACTAGCAATATGGCAACATCTAGTTACCAATTGAAGCACTTTTAACTTATGGTTTTGCCAATGATTAATTAAGTTTACCTGCACATAACACACCAGAAAAAATAATATAAAATAAAATTTTATTCGCTCATATGAATACAATGATAATGGTTGATCATCATAATGTCTTCCGCGGCATGATCAGTTTGTCGTGGGTGTTAACGGTTGCTAAACTTATGCCAAAGAGAAGTACAATGATAAAATTTAAAATTAAAAAAAAAAAATATATATATATATATATAGAATCAAGTAAAACATACCTTTCACGTAGGTGTTGCGTTAATAATATATCAACGTGATACAACTAAGCACCTAATCAAGATTAGGTGAAAATAAACAAAGTAATCCCACAACATAAGCATATTTAGAGTCCAATACCATGGAAATCATGGGCCTGCTTTCATGATTTATAATATTAGAAACTTAAAAAAATGTGGGTGCACTACACAGAGTGACAGCATTCTGAGAGACTGCAATTGGAAATAAGCAAGGCCAGTCAGAGGACTAAAGATGCAACAATTTATACATGATGTCTTCGTGATCATGTCGACAAGCTTAATCAGGGTATCCTTCATGGATAAAGCACAAAGCCCATCAGCCAGCATCGAGAATGAAGAGAATTCTGGTGTGAATATCAACTACAAAATCAACAGCCTCTCCGATGGGTCCCCCACCAGAACAAAGCCCATAAATAACAAATTTATATGAGAGAGCATCGGGAGCATCATCCTTCTCCTCCATTTCTCTATAAAGTCTCGTGGCTTCTTTTGTTCTCTTCCGTTTATATGAAGAGTGCTCGAATCACTGGATTATAAGCCTATGGTGACCGAAGCATTCCTTTCATCTGTGTTGTTCTCGGGAGCTTACTAGCAAGATCAATTCTACCTGCTTTACATAGTCCCTGAATTAGGGTTCCATAGGTGACAACATTGTTCACACCCATTTGAAGTCATGGTATGGACAATATCTGCTGCCTTTTTATATCCCCGCTTTGTAGAAGTGAGAGAGCAGGGAATTGTACGAACTTGTCAAGTTTAAGTCTTCCATTATTATGGATAACCTAGGGTATCCCCACCCGGGCCCCTTTTATAGTTATAATTGTTAAACCGAAAGTTTATCCCCATGATTCGATCTCTTCTAATGAAATGCTGCTATGCTCACACTACTTTTTAAATGTCTTTGCAACAGAAGAATTACCGTGCTTGTACATTTTTAATTCATTTTTTTCTTTTTTGGTCGCAATCCAGTTTATTGTCACAAAATATAACAATTAGACTGCATATGATTGCTAATGTTGGTGCAAAATTATGCATGATAAACGTCTTTCCTATCAGAAAAGAGAGGAGGTGATCGAGAGTGGAACTAGCATAGTTGCCAGCCAGGTACACTCGGACATAAATTAGTACTTGACAATTGTATATCAAAGAAACTACTTTGTATTTTATTTTTGATATCTTTTGAGTACTTTGTATTGTATTTTTGACTTTTGAGTTGATCGACCACTCCTTTATAGCAGAATACTGGTGTTAAGTTATGAGACTGGCTCCACTACTTAGGAGAGATATCAGGAAGAGTAGCAATTATTCTTATCTTAGAGTTTCTTTATCCTTTAATCTTCCTTATCAGCTGATATGAACAGTACTATAGTCAATACTCAAGTGTGCCCATATTATAGGCAACAGATGGAACAACTAACTGTTCCTAAACTTATGCCAAAGAGAAAATCACTCGGGAATCAAGTTGAAGAAAAACAAACGTGTTTCAGGTAAGGGTAGCCTCTAGTAGCTCAGCATGATACATACAAGCAATCACCTAATCAAGATTAGATAAAAATAATAATAAGAATAATAAAAAAAGGTAATCCCACATCATGAGCATATTTAGAGTACAATATCATGGAATCATTATGGCATGCTTTCATGATTTATAATCTTAGAAACATAAAATATGATGGTGCACAACACAGAGTAACAGAATTATGAGAGACTGCATTTGGAAATAGGCAAGGCCAGCCAGAACTAAAGACACAACAATTTAAATGTTCTGCACCTGTCATATATTTCCCACTGAATTCTTTAAAAACTCAAATATTTCAAACTGCATCATCCAGTGGAATGACAGAAAACTCTGAATTCCAAATCACCCAACTTGCCCTTTCGAGGACCGAACCTTGTTATTTTGAGCCCCTGCTTCCCCAAAGATGATTGTAATGTCAGTAGCACCTTTCATCTTCACCAATAACCTTTTTTGGGCTTTCGGCTATTCAAGATACTCCAAAGGGTGGCCAGTGCATCTTGAAATTTACGGATTTTGAGGAAACCCATTACTATGGATACCTCAGTGCCTGAGAAGTTTGCTGTCTTCATGATCGAGTCGATGAGCTTAATCAGGGTATCCTCCATGGATAAAGCACAAAGCCCATCAGCCAGCATAAAGAATGAAGAGAATTCTGGTATGAATCCTTTTCCAGTCATCTCAATTACAAAATCAACTGCCTCTCCGATGGGTCCCCCACCAGAACAAAGCCCATAAAAAACAAATTTATATGAGATAGCATCAGGAGGATCACCCTTCTCCTCCATTTCTCTAAATAGTCTCATGGCTTCTTTTGTTCTCTTCCGTCTGAAGAGTGCTCGAATCACTGGATTGTAAGCCTGTGGTGACGGAACCATTCCTTTCATCTGGATTGTTCTCAAGAGCTTACTAGCAAGATCAATTCTACCTGCTTTACACAGTCCCTGAATTAGGGTCCCATAGGTGACAACATCCGGTTCACACCCATTTGAAGTCATGGTCTGGACAATATCTGCCGCCTTTTTTATATCCCCTGCTTTGCAGAAGTGAGAGAGCAGGGAATTGTAGGTGAACTTGTCAGGTTTAAGTCCTTCCATTATCATCTGATCCATAAGTTGAGCAGCCTCCTCCACCCTCTTGCTCTTACAAAGACCATCAATAAGAGAGTTGTACGTCACTAAACTTCTTGAAACACCCTGGAGTTCCATTTGATCAAAAACCTCTTCTGCTTCTCCAATTTTATTGTTTTTGCAGAACCCGTCGATTAGAGTATTATAAGTCACTACACTTCGTGCACAGCCACTTGATTCCATTTCTTTCAGTAGGCTCAAAGCTTCCTCCAGTTTCCTCCTAGTACAAAGGCAGTCAATTAGCATATTATAAGTAAATTCATCAGGTTGGCACCCTTTATTTTTCATCTCCTTGAACAGCTCCAATGCAATTTTAAGGTTGCTGGTCAAGCAAAGACCTTGAATCAAAGAATTGAATGTACAGACATCGGGTAAAATTCCCTTGCTTGTAAGAACACGAGCAAGTTCAGTGGCTTGTTCTACTTGATTCTCCTTGCACAAGGTGCTGATCAGAGCATTATAAGTGACGGTATTTGGGGAACAATCCCTTGACAGCATCTGATTGAGAACTTCCATGGCCTCTTCCACTTCACCCACTTTACACAGTCCAGAGATCAAAGTGTTATATGTAAATATATCTGGATCAAACCCCTCCTGAAGCATTAAATCCAAGATCTCTAGAGCATGCTTAACATGCCCCGCCCTGCACAAACCATTCACCAAAGTATTGAAAGTAAATTTATCAGGACGAAAACCCTCTAGAGACATCTCTTGTGCATAATTCAAAGCGTCCTCAACCCTACCCTCTTTGCAGAACCCATGAATCAAAACATTAACTGATATATTGCTCAAAGAGCATTGAGCAATTATCATTTGTTCTCTGATTCTCAATGCACCATCTAAATTTCCTTCCTCAATATAACCCTGCATTATCGTTGTGAAAGTTTTCTCATCAGGTGACAATCCATAGCTGGGCATTTCTTCCATCATCAAAATAGCCGGCCTAACCTGATGAGCCTTACACAAAGCCTTGATCAATATATTAAAAGTCGAAACATCCAGTTTGACTCCTCTACTTAACATCATTGAATGCACAGTTTCAACTAACTTTAACTTATTTCCATCAACAAGAACATTCAACAAAAAGTTATAAGTATGTGTACTCGGATTCAACCCGAATTCTTCCTCCATCATATCAAGAACACCAGTAGCTTCATCATATAAATCCAATTTCACAAAACTTTCAATCAAAATTAAGAAAGTACCTTGAGTAACCTCACACCGAGAATGCTTCATATCCTCCAACACAAGTCTCATGGAGTCCAAAGATCCCATTTCTCCGAGCTTTCGAAGAATTTCCTCATATATGGACAAAGTGGGAGTGAAATTAGGCTGTTTTGAAGCCCAATCAAAGAGACTAAGTGTTGATGTTTCGTCAATTTGGCAACGGAGGGCGTGGATGAGATCCTTCGGGGTGAAATCAGGTGCGAGCTGATGGGTTGGAGAGACGGAAAGGGAAGAGAGAGAAGGTGAACTTGAAACTGAGATTGAAGCAAGCTTTTCATGGTGTCGTGTGGAGGCCAAAGAAACAAATTTTGAGAGCTTTGGAGGGGAAGAAAGAGGATGTTGGTGTTTTACATTTTGGGGGAGACTCCAAGGATGACACTTCAGACATGAAGAAAAAGCCATTGACGCAATTCAGCAAACATGTAACATGCAATACAATTTCACTCTGTCTAGGAATAGCATGGATTTAGAACAACCCAAAAACTTGTAATATAATTCCAGACTGTCTAAAAATGGGATAAGATTAGAACAACCCAATTTAGGATTTTTCACAAAAAAAAAAAAAAAATGGAAGTTACCGATTATACAAGGAAAGTCGGGAGTTTACTCGCGATGTTCACAAACAACAATTCAAGCTCGGAATTAGTACATATAACTAAAATCGCTATGAAGAAAATTTTAGTATATATGAAGAATATAACCTTCTCGAGAAAATGCGCGTTTCTCCTCCCAACGGATAAACCACTACTCTAATGGCTATGTTAACTTATAAGGTAAAGTAAAGCCACGGTTGAGGATCAGCAAAAAGTACATTCATAGAAAACTCACCTCCTTTTGTTAAACAAAGACATCCTTTAAAAGTTTAAAAAATGCACAAAGATTCCTGTATATGAAAAATCCATTAAATTACCTTTTAACTATTTAGGAGACTTTTTTAATATTATAATTTAATAAATTAAACCAATCTATCCTTACGAATAATTTGTGCTTAAAAAAAGTGAAAAAAAAAAAAAATTTATATTATTTACTTTTTTTTCTTTTTTTTTTTTGTTATTTACTTTATAAATGTTCCAACTTCTTAAAAATGTAAACGTTTAAAATGATTTTTTGATCCAATACATATATTTCAAATAAATTACATTTTGTTATTACTTCTTTTTTTTATTTTTTTATTTTTAAATTAAGATGCTTAATTCTTTCATCTAAAAAAATTAAACCAATATCTTTTCCTTAAAAATAAAAAATATGGTACTAGTATAACTTTATGCATCTTAAATTATATATCAAATATTATGCATTTCTCAACATAAAAGAAAATACTACATCTCTTCTTATCTCAAATGCATTCTCATGATTAAAATTATGAATTTTTCCTCATGCTTATGATTTTGATGCTTTGATCTACATCCAAAAAGTTACAAAGAATTAATTAAAAAATCAAAACTATGACTTGTTTTTTTTTTTTTTTTTCCTTTTTTTTTTTACTGGGGATAGAAAAGGAGAGTATTTAAGTGATAGTTTCATAATTCTGAATTGTCCTCAACAATTAAAAGGAATAAATTATTACTTCACTATGTTCCATCTATTTAAAAAAACATGATCGTAATTTGGTTGTTATAATTTTTTTTCTCTTATCTCATATATATATATATATATATATATATAAACATAAATAAAATTATTATTATTTGTTGGGGTTAAAATTCGCCGCAGCCTGGTACGACATTGTTTCCTGCAAAACAAAGACGGCTAAGTCAAACACCGGTGTAGTGCCGACCGTTGACTCTCCGACAATCAAGTTAGTAGGAGTTTCTAGAGAAAGAATTTCTATCGTAATCGTTCTAGTAGGAGTTTTTTGTGTGTACCTTTGTTGAATGGTAAGATCTTATCCTTATAGTCGCTCTCCCTCAATTCATTTGCGGGATCAGAGGAGATCCGTTTGGTGCCAGATTTGTCAAAGATATGATTTACCCCTTTAATTTCCTCAAATTGTGCCAAGGTTATTCTTACCCTGTTGAACCATGTCATCTTTCATTATCAAATATTATCATTCTTATCCAATGAAAATATCATCGTTCAAACCTCGAAAGAGGCCTGGCGGCTGGTCAACACTTAATTGCCTCTATCGTTAGGTCAAGGTATGTTAAGTTTATTTTTCCCTATCAGTTACGCCCCATTCCCAAGCTTGCCCGTCTATCTTTGGGAATGTGATTTTTTTTTTACCCTGGGTACTATTCCCTAGGGAATAATGCATGCGGGGGTACTATTCACTTGAACAGTAAAATTATTATTATTAATTTTTTTTTTTTTTTTTTTTTTTTTGCCCTGGGCACTGTTCCCTCGGGAATAGTGCTCGCGGATACTGTTCACATAAACAATTTTTTTTTTTTTTTGTATCCTTAGATACTCTTCCCTTGGGTACTATTATTTTAGGTAATGTTCCCTTGGGTACTATTCCCTTGGGTAATTTTCTCTTGGGTACTCTTCCCTTGGGTAATCTTCCCTTGAGTAATGTTCCCGCGGGTAAGGGTTTTTTTTTTTTTTTTTTTTGTACCCTTTGGCACTCTTCCCTTCGGTAATCTTCTCTTGGGTACTATTCCCGTGGGTACTATCCCGATGGTGGAATTAATACAAATACCAAATCAAGGTTCTGTTTTAGAAGGGCACGGATTCAAACCCATGGTCAATGACTCTTAGTGATGTAAAACTGGATTTTTCTTTTGAAAATCCAATATACTAGTTGTAAACTTTATGGATTTCAGTCAGCCCATTCCTTTGGCAAAGGAATAAATTTTATTTGTTTCACTCAGTTCGTCACTCCTTTAATAAGGGGAACGAGCTTTACTCAGCTCGTCCCTTTAGTAAGATAATTAAATTTTACGAATTTCACTCAGCTCGTCCCTTTAGTAAGGGAATTAGGTTTTACGAGTTTCACTCAGCTCACCCCTTTAGTAAGGGAATTAGGTTTTATGAGCTTCACTCAGCTCGTCCCTTTAATAACGGAATTAGATTTTTGTCAAGTGTCAGGAATGCCAAGTCTTACTAAGCATGCTTGATGATTACTTTCTTGTCCCTTTTAATAAGGGAAGTAAATTTGCTCGAGCGTTGTGAGATCACCCTTTAATAAGGGAGTAGTTAACCCCTCGTCTCTTTACCGAGGGAAGAAGATGAAGTTGACCCTTCGTTCCGTTATGGGGGAATGAGGTGTCGTCTGAAGGAGGGTGACCCTTTTAATACGAGAGGTAGTCGTCTCGTTTCTCTAGTAAATGAAGGAAACTTTAATTATATCATCCTTCTGTCTAAAAGGAGTAATCGGATGCTTGTCCCTTTAATGAAGGAAGAATGTGTTGTTGGCCCTTGGTCCATTTCATGAGAAAACCTTTAATAAGGTGTAGTCGGCCTCTCGTCCCTTTAATAAGGGAAGTAGATTAATACGAGTTTCACTCAGCTCATCTCTTTAATAAAATAAGTAGATTACTATGAACTTAATATTACCACATAGGTAGGTTACTGAAAACGTAATATTTTATTACGTAAAAACTGAGGGTCGTCCATCTGATTGGTGATGGTGACTTTATTGGAAAACAAAATAACACGTGAAGGAGCAACCCTCCATTTAAAATAATGAACTGAAATGCCCCCAGTCTTTATTTTGAATGACTTGATAAGGCTAATTCTAGCTTTGAGACAATTGTTAGTCGGTATACTTATCTGAGTCCTTCTCACGATATGTCATACTGTTTTGGCTGAAGAATGGTCTCTTATAGTTGGTATCATTTTCATCCCTGGTGATAGGGGCTAACCTCTTCTTGTCCTCTCCTTCCTTTCCCTTCCATGCATTCATGGCTTCTTCAGCATTCATATGTTTCTGCACTTTGATCAACAACTCTGTCGTGCTAGTGGGAAGTTCTTTTGATAAGGGGAACAAGAATCTGGAGGTTTGGAGTCCTTCTATGAAAGCGGTCAAAGCCACCTTGTCGTCCACCTCTTCTACCTTTAACATCTCTGTGTTGAATCGGGTGATGTATTCCTGGATCGACTCTCCCTTTTGTTGCTTTACGGTAAACAGGTAGGTGACCGGCCTCCTATGCCTCTGACCTGCAATGAAGTGGCTCACAAATTGCTTACTCAGTTCTTCGAAGGTGTTGATGGTTCCTGGCTTCAGCTTGTTGAACCAAACTCTTGCCGATCCCTTAAGTGTAATAGGAAAAGCTCGACACATGATTTCATCTGGCACGACATGTAAATGCATAAGAGTTTGAAAAGTCTCCAGGTGATCGAGGGGATCTTTGGTCCTATCGAAGCTTTCGAACAAGGGCATCCTGAACTTGCTAGGCATGGGGCATTTTATAACGGCGGGGCTGAACTGCAAATTGGTCCTCTGCACTAGGTTATCATGGCGGCAAGACCTTTCCCTTTCATAGCCTGCATTACATCTACCATTTTCGCCTTGAGATCCTCGATCTGTGGGTCGAAATAAGTAATTTTCTTTGTCTTTTCCTTAACACAGAAGGTTGTGCCTGTTTGAGGATGGGGATTCCGCGGAGGCAGGGAAGGAGGTCTCTGTGTCAGTTTCTGACTTGGCTTTGTGTTGCCTCGAACTTGTGAGGAGGATTGTTTTCTCGGTCCCTTTCGTGTTGTCCCCCATCATTCAGATTGAGAGGATATGGGTCGGACAATTCTTGTTAAGGTGGTGGTCACGCTGGGATAAGATGTTGCAGGATCTCTGCATTTTGCTGGATCAACTGATCCATACTCTGATTTAGAGTTTGGACCTGTAGTTTTAACGCTGCAAGCCGTTTTTTTGTCATTCGGGACGTCTGGGTGTTCACCCGACCCTTTTGTTTGACTGGATCCCTGCAACGATGTTTCTTTTCCAGTTACTATACCGGACCGCAAGTGCATATACCCAACCAAGTAATTTATTGATTTAAGGGAATCATCGTTTCCCACAGACGGCGCCAACTGTTGGGGTTGAAATTCGCCGCAGCCTGGTACAACACAGTTTCTTGCAAAATAAAGACGGCTAAGTTAAACACCAGTGTGGTGCCGGCCGTTGACCCTCCGACAATCAAGTTAGTAGGAGTTTCTAAAGAAAGAATTTCTATCGTAATCGTTCTAGTAGGAGTTTTTTGTGTGTACCTTTATTGAATGGTAAGATCTCATCCTTATAGTCGCTCTCCCTTAGTTCATTTGCAGGATCAGAGGAGATTCGTTTGTTACCAAATTTGTCGGGGATATGATTTACCCCTTTAACTTTCTCAATTGTGCGAAGGTTATCCTTACTCTGTTGAATCACATCATTTTTCATTATCCTTGATAATGAAATTTTATCATTCTTATCCAATGGAAATATCATCGTTCGAACCTCGGAGGAGGTCTGGCTGTTGGTCAACACTTAGTTGCCTCTATCGTTAGGTCAAGGTAGGTTAAGTTTATTTTTCCCTATCATTATCATTTCACTTCTTTTTTCTCACAAGTAATACTACCTTCTCATTTCTTTTCTGTCCTTAGTAATTGAACTTCAGTGAGTAGTTAAGCATTATACATAAAAGATTATTTGATGTATTATTTTCTAAAACCATTTTTTGAAAACAGAGTTCAAAAAAAAAAAAAAAAAAGAAACATTAATTTTAAGATACATTAATTACCATCTTTAATTATACTTCTAAAAATAAAATTTGAAAATCATAGATTCAAAAAAATTATTTAAAGGCTGTGTCAATTACAATTGCATATCTGCTTTTCAATCCACGCCTATCAAAATTTGAGCTCCATATCTCTACAGAACATGAGATGCAATTGGCTCAAACACTGAATGCATGGAATCTACTTTAATCATTTGAGATGCTTAATTTCATCTAAAAAAAAAAAGAAGTTATAGCTTTGATTTTTCTTTTTCTTTTTTTCTTTTTTCCTTTTTTACTAGGGATAGAAAAAAATTGATATGTGAGAGTTATAATTTTAATCATGAGAATGCATTTGATATAAGAAGAGATTGATGATCATAGAAAATGTGAAATATTTGATAGGATCCGTTTCGCGAATGTGGAATGTAAGAGAACTTCAAATGTTATAACGTAAGTACGTCAAGAACGCTATGCAATTTAAGAAAGAACAACCGTGGAAATGAGCATTCCACATGTACATCACACCTCCTACGGTGGTTGGCAAAACAAAAGTCTAACCATCCTTCTTTTTCTTTTATGTTGGGAAATGCATAATATTTGATATATAATTTAAGATACATAAAGTTATACTATTACCATATTTTTTATTTTTAAGAAAAAGAGATTGGTTTAATTTTTTTAGATGAAAGAATTAAGCATCTTAATTTAAAAATAAAAAAGAAAAAGAAAAGAAGTAATAATAAAATATAATTTATTTGAAATATATGTATTGGATCAAAAAATCATTTTGGACGTCTATATTTTTAAGAAGTTGGGATATTTAAAAAAAAAAAGAAAAAAAAAAAAGTGAACAATATAAAGTTTTTTTTTTAATGTATAAATTGTTCACGAGGGTAGATTGGTCCAATTTATTAAATTGTAAAGTTAAAAAAGTCGCCTAAACGGTCAAAGAGTAATTTGATCAATTTTTCATGTAAAGGGGTGTTTTTGTCCATTTTTGAACCTTCAAGAGGTATCGTTGTCAAAAAAATAGATAAATTTTCTCTGAGTGTTCTCATGTAAAGCGGTATTTTTGTCCATTTTTGAACCTTCAAGTGGTGTCGTTGTCAAGAAAAGAGATAATTTTTCTCTAAGTATTCTTGTATCAAACTCAGCGAGTGTAACTGTACTTTATCCTATTGTGAACTCTAAACACACATGGTCAAATTCTCTTATTGTACGAGGTTAAAAAGGCCAAAAAAAAAAAAAAAAAATCCATTACATTAACTAAAGAATAAGTAAAAGTAATTATTGAAATCTTGAAAAGATTGTTTGATTTGAACAAAACAATGTTTTGCACGGAAAGAGTAATTTTCAAACAAGAAGGAAGGCTACGTCAAGATTTTTCTAGATTGAATTCATGAAAACTCACTTAATTTGAAACAAGAATGAGGTTGCAGGTGTTTCAATAGTTGTAAAATTAAGATTGTGTACGGCTTTATTTTTTTGACCTCTCTAATTTTGTTGTTGTGTTTTGAAAAAAAATAATAATAATAATTAGGAGAATCACGGAGAATAGTTGCTACTCTTCTGGACCGCCAAATGTTGCACAACTTCTATACATATATGAAAGTAAAAGGCATGACTCTTGTTATGGCCCGAAAGGTTTGCCACGCAAGCGACAGATATATTGACATGGACCAAAAACATTCCAAACTTCTCCACAAAACTGTGGGTTGTTTCGGAACTAGAGTAATGTTGCAACGCGAAATTTTTATACAATAGCTTAGAGTTTTTTAAACTTGTGACTCTATATAAAGAGGTGCAAGTTGGCTATTGACGTATTAAGGTATTATGAATTAAATGATATAAATCACATTAAAAAAAATAAGAATGTAATAATCAAAATTCAAAATATTATGCACTTGTTATGAAGTAATACAACTCATTCAAGAAAAATAAACATTAACAAGAACTATTAAGAAAAAAAACGTATATTGCTAGATCTCCTTTATTGGAGGACTAAGTCTCTATTTATATAGAAAAACTTTTTTATTAGAGGACTATGTCTCTATTTATATACAAAACGGTGGTGGAATTATAGTAGGACTCCAATTAATTCCATATACTATTCCTTATTAATTACCTTTTAAATTATCTCCATGTCAGATTCTTCCTTTTGTAGAACTTTCCTTTCATGCAGGATTCTTTGCTTGGTAGGAGTCCTTCAGTCTCAAATGGTTTAGACGGGATACATCTTGGGCCAACTGAGCTTGATTGATGGGCCGGAAGGCTAGTGCTCGCGATCATGGTCTAAAGGAGAACTCAATTTGGGCTCGACCTGGATTGGGCTTCTGCAATTTGGGCTCGATTCGAATTGGGCTCTCACAATATATCAAGATATCGAAAGTATAAATTTGTATTGTGATGATGTGGACGGCTCTTATTAGAGAGGGATTTTTCCTTCCACAAATACATATTATAAGATTTAAATGAGAAGAGAGAGAGAGAGAGAGGGAGAAAAAAAAATATATTGTTAAAGCATTCACAATAATAAAAAGGGACAATTACACAAAGCACCACCAAGCTTTTCACGTAAATAAAAGTTGGAGCAAGAATACAGAAAGCTCCATGTTGACCGTTTAAGCATAATGGTTTGGCATAAATTTGCATTTTTGACCTTAAAATTAAACCATTTGCTTATGATGAAAAAATTGGAAGAGATTGTGTAGTATTAAGTTACGCTTTTGCCCCTCAAAAAATTTGGTTGTGATTTTTTTTTTCTTTCTTCCCTCTTGTGTGAATATGTGGGGTTTTTGACAAAAATAACCCTATTAATTACTCTTCTTATGTTTGTAAGTTAATATAATTATGTAATTTTACATTCATGAAAAATCTTCTCCCCAATTTTATTTATTTAAATTTTTTTTTTTCCCTCTTTCTTTTTCTTCCGAGTTCATATTGCCGGCAAGCAGTGCAAGAAATACTGTGAGATCACCATAACCCAGGGAGCAGTGCAAGAGGGGTAAGCGGAATCCATATTTTAATCCCTCCGGCATCAACCGAGCAATTGTCGATTCATTGGATTTGGCCGGATTCAATATTTTAATTATGACTTCTAACCGAAATCCATGGATTCTGACCGGAATCATTCTCTTGTGATCGATTTCTTATTGAACATGGAGTAGTAAAATAATCTATGAAAAAGTTGAATTCCATTGATTTCAATCTGAATCCGTGTTTCAAATCTGGTCTGTATATATGGTATTACGAATTTGATTTACAAAGTACTTTTATTTCAAAATTATCTTTTTTAGAAGCGCCAAAAAACTCACAGAAGAAAGTTCATGACGGCAGTTGCAGGCAATGGAATTTAGAAATAGTTAGAGAATACTGATGGAAAGAGATGAGGAACACCAGTTAGTTTTTTTTTTTTTTTTTTGAAACACCAGTTATATTATTGATACAAGTGGGTCACTTTTTGTCCATTAAAATAAAATTTTCAGTTTAATGAATGAGTCCAAAACTTTTTTAAACTCTCACCGTTTTGACGTTTAACATGCATACCGAGGTAATATGCAAAGTCAATGGAATTAGAGTGGAGGTAATATGTAAAGTCAATGAAATTAGAGTGGTAATTGATCAATATATTGCCCCAACTTCTATCTGAATGAAAGAGATGAAAAGTTTGAGGGTGCTTTGTGTAGTTTGTCCTAATAAAAAATAAAAAATACAGTAGGATTTGACTGCAGAAGAATATTTATAATTTTGAAGGGAATTAGAAGAAGAGAAAGAGAAAAGAAAAATTAATAGAGAGATTTCTCTATACAAATAAAAAAATTCAGGGGTCATTTCTTAATATTTTACAAATATGTAAGCATAAAAATTTAGCATGTGGGGCTCAACTCGGGCATGTGCCTTCCTGAGCATTAATCGGCTCGGTCCCTGCTCATAGCTACCAAGGTTATATTGTAACAAAAGAAAACTTTTCATTTGAGGTAACTTAGATAACTAATCATTTATGTGATATAAAATGGAAACCATAAAATTTAAAGTTATTTTAGGAGATTTATAAAAGAAAAAATATATATTTTGAAACAAATTCCAACAAAAAAATCATAAATATAAATTTTCAAACAAAAATTCCAACAACTAAAACATTAAAATAAATTTTCAAATCAGAAGAAAAATAATTCCGGCAAATTTAAAGGGACATCATTGTAATTTTGCCTTTTAAATTATTATTTTGAGATGTTAACAAGTATCTGTCTGGAAAGCCAAAAAGGATGCCATTTAACCAAAGAAAGATAACAGAGGTCAAAGCCATTTAAATTTTGAAAACAAACTACAGGTGTTGTCTACCCCCCATAAACTGTTACATATTATAGCTTGTAGACATCAGACTACAAGTGAGACACTCGATGCATAGGTTCTACACATAATAAATCACAAGATATGCCGGAAACCACAAATGTTGTTCAAAATAAATATAACGCTATATGGTAGCACTTGGCAACCAATATGATATCCTAAGCCAAGTTCACCATTTTTCACAAACTATGAACATTTCACTCATGAAGAGAAGACTGCGGGGGAACTCTCTGACAAGCCCTAAGCGCAATTATATTTAGGTGGCACGGCTTTTAATAACATCGAGACCCATCTCAGTTGGATCAGTAGCTTGCAATTCTACCTGAATTCCATCCAGCTCTCTCTTGAACCTGTCCTTAGAGCTGGCATAAATCATCTTGCTTCTGACCCTTGATGTATCAGGAGACCTTCAACATACAGCGAAAACAAATTAAATTTAAACAAAAAAGCGTACAAGAAGAATCATTGTTGGGTCAATCAAAAAGTTGGAAACTTAATTTACCACGCAATGAAGAAAATCCGACTTTTCTGGCAATTCTCCTCGGTCACGAAATCAAAATCATAGACGGCATAGCGACACTCATCAGCAGGAAGACTTGCGGTGAAGTCCTCATAGCTTTGTGCTGGCTCGCCAACCTTTTCCACAACAACTTGCTTCTGCTTCTCCTCAATCTTGAAGACTATAAAACGGTAAGTTCTTTTTGCCTTCAATTCCAAAAACCTTAACTTGCAGTCATCATGCACAGCCATCCCGGATGCTGCATTGGCCTGTGATTACCATCACCAAAATCAATTGGCAATAATGAATAATGATTCATTAGCCAAAAGAGGTTCTATTCGCCACACAAAAAACATTTCAAAACCAATTTTTACCAAGGGAAAGGCAAACTTGCTATGGATTAAAGTAAAATAACTGTTACCAATCCTAAATGATAACCAAAAAAAATATATTAAAAAAAAAAATCTCAACTAATCTCTGTTTGATTGGCAAGGAAACATAAGCAATTAGATCTACTGGACATGTTAAGCTTCGCAATTGGCATATGATTACCATGTATTTCTCATGGACAAGTCAAACAAACATGTCACGATTATATGCACTTCTATGATAAACAACTGAACATAGAACTCCCACATGAACCGTATATATTCTATGCAGTCAAAATTGGAGAATGACAAGTCTAAACCCTGAGCATAAATAGCAATGCCCAACAAAAACTCATACAAAACCTGTGTACATGAACCTGCTAAAACTACGTCCTTAACCAGATCCATGTAATGACAATTTGGTTTGATTGCTGAGAAATATGTAGATAATTTTAAAACTGTGTGCTTACATATGGCACCAAAACAACAACTAGCACTTAGTTGAACCTAATACACCTGCATGGAATTTTTTGTACCTTGAAGGGGTCACTACATTACTACATTTTTTTAATAAACATTTCATGCGGGGCTCGTGTCTACCATCAGGAACGTCTGGACCCAGCTCCACTGCTAGTTTGGATACTGGGTGGGAATCCAGATTCATATCTACCTGGTTTAGTTGAGAAGAATTTCATTTTCAAGAAGCAAGACACCAAAGAAAAAGCAAGAAAGCGGAGAAAAATAAAATGAATTAAAGAAATTGTACCCTTTTCTTCCATTTCATCAGCAGTAAAACAATATCAAGAAGCTCAATAGAATTCAAAATTTTAGCATAATAATTAGATCAAATCAAACAAACATTTACCACCAATAATGACTCAAATCTTCGCAAGACCCACAAAAAATAATATGGTTGAACAATCCAATATGAGTAAAAGATATATGCATAACATTTATGTTCAGAACACATTAGTAACAGCTTAAGCCAATTCAAGTGAACCCGAAATTTAAAGTGCAATGTCTAATCAAGCTTTGAAAAATATACAATCAAATTCAGATATTAGTATCAAATCAGAAGCAATCAGATCTAGGAGAGCTAAAAAATATATGAATACATAGATAAATAACCCCATGATCAGCTACTAATTCAATCAAAAAACTTGAATCTCATCCAGAAATTAGATATGATCAATAGATCAATAACAGATCAAACACCAAATTCAATATACCCATATACAGACGAAATATAGTGAAATCAAACCCTATAAAAACATATAAAAACTAAAACAGTGATAGAAGAAGTTAGAGACTCGCCATTTTGGCTGTTTAGCTTGGAGTAGAGATCACGATCAGACAGATATTTCAGGGGAGAGAGACCCTCCGATAATGAGGACTCCGTGAATGAAAATACAGCCTCTTTATTCGGTGGCTCTCTGCTTGAGGATTCTTACAGTGATATCCGTCGTACGAAAACGAAGGTGTGTGTAAATTTTAAACAAATCATATTGCGCCACGTCATGAAGGCGGTCGCTAGGGCTTGGTTGGGCTAGGCGGTTTCTTGAAGTCGACTAACGAATATTGAAATGATATGGAAAACGTTGTCGTAATAGTACTATATACTCTTAGTTCACACAATTCGAGGAAAGGTTGAAAAAAGCAATTTTTTTTCAATATTAATATTAAATTAAGGAACCACCCAATAAAAAATAGATGCGACATGTGTAAGTTAAACTTTGATTATGATAGTGTACAGAGTCAGAATTTCAATTTAGGGGTGCAATGTAAATAAAAAAAAAATTTCAACAAACATGACAAATATTGGTTGTTCAAATTGAGAAGGAAAAAAAATCATTACAAAACCATATGCTAAAACAATACGCTAAATCAATGACTAATATTAAAAATATAAGTACTTGACCAATATAAGAACTAAAATATTGTTTATTAATTAATTAATATTTTCATTAAAAAAAAGTTGCATGTCTTTTGTATAGCATGCATAAAAATTACACACGTTGACTTCATAAATTATGGTAATAAATTAAAATAAGAACAAGAAGAAAAGAAATTACATATTATATATATCATTAGTAAGTCAAACAATAATTTTAACTAGGAAAACAAAATAATAATAATAATAAAAGAAAGAAAAATGATAACTTTGAAAGGAAAAAAATTAGACTTTGATAGACAGGGAAAATTTAACCTATTTTTAAGGAAATCAAATATATTTTAAGAGCAAAAGAGAAAAGAAAGAAAACTTTAGGAGATAATTTTATAAATAAAAAATTTTAGGGAGGCATTATGTAAAAAAATTCATATAAATATACAAATAAAATAAAAAATAACTAAATTTTATACTTGGCGAGGCCAGGTAGGGGGCACATGACACACACCAGCTAGACTTTAAATAGTCACTAATTGACAATAATTTTTAAAATTTGGTTACTATTTTTTTATTATTCATAACAGTGAAGTAAATTTTTTCAAAATTGGTCACTAAATTATAATTTTTCCAATATATACACCACAAATATTTGTAGCTAGAAATAGTCAATTAGAAGTTTAGAACAGTCGAGTTCGCTTATTATATTATTTTATTTCCCTTTATACTCTGCAGCACAATATTCTTGCTATTCATATTTTCTTACTTTTGTTAGATGGAAATAATAAAAAATGAAAAATGAAAAGAGCAGCGAAGTGAATGAAAAGAAAAGTAATTTTTTAAGTATGTATTTGGTTAGGATGAAAATTTTTCAAAAAAATTATAGGAAAATATCACATTATAGTTTGGATACCTAAATTATCATTATTTTATAAAATAATAAAGAATTAGGAATAAAATATATTTTAAAAATGATAAAATTTTCAATTAATTTAGGCCTTTTAATTACCATTATTCATATATGATGAAAAACAACTAAGAATGGAAGTCAAGTTAATTAAAAATTTATCAATGATAAAGTTGTTAGTAGACTCCAATTTTTTGAAACCTAATAAAAATTTGTTATTGTTTCCAAATATAAAATGAAGTTGTTGGGTAAAATAATATTAATGAACTTGTTGGGTAAAATAGGAATATTAAATAAAAAGCATGCTTTCACTGGAAAATAAAATTTCCCTGTGTTTTGTGAAGGAAACATTTGGATAAAATAAAGTTTAACAAGAATCCTAATTTTTTAGAACCTTTTCCTTTTTTATTTAACCAAATTATAAAAAAAGTTTTAAAATTTTCTATTTTTTCTTTTTTCATTGATTTTATCCGACCAATCGAAGCCTTTTATTTTTACTTTTATCCTTTGTTGACATGGGGAAAAGGTCCAAATAGGATTTAAAACTAAGGCTTGGCTTGGCTTGGCTTGGCTTGAGCGTTTGAGCCTCTCAAATGGTGAAGCATTCTGATTTGTGATATTTAGTTGATCTCGAGACAATTGTCGATGGGAATGTTATGGCACTTGGAGTTGGGTCCACTGAGATTCTCTCTCTAACTGCGTCAATCCTACGCAGGTACGCTACAATTTTAAGATTTTTTTAATTCAATTAATTAATTAAAAAGTGCACTTGTCTCTGGGGATCTATTCAATTTAAAAGTTCCTTAATTTTTTTTTTATGGTGGCCAGTGCTGCACAATAATTGAATTGTAACTGTATGTTTGAATATTACATTCCAATCTTGAAAGCAAGGACATTGGATGGAAAAAGTGGAAGCATTTTTTATTCTTTTGAAATAAGGTAAAATGGAAGATGGAGATATACCTATGTTCGATTATATACCTGTTCAGGTGGTTTAGTAGGTAAAGGGTTTTCTGGGATAAATTGTAAATTTGGTTTAATTTTTTAAATAATATTCTTTGTGTTTCAATTTAAGTGTAGTTTATGGAGAATAGTAATTTTTAAAAGAACATGTTTTGTCTAACTGAAAAGTTACTAACTTGTCATTCTAAGTTTTGAATATTCAAATTTGAAATTTTAAACTCAAAGAACATATATGAAAGATTTGAAATATAAAATAGAAGATGGAGCTATACCTAGGTTCGATTGTATACCCGTTTGGGCGGTTTAGTAGGTAAGGGGTTTTCTGGGACAAATTGTAAATTTGGTTTAATTTTTAAATAATATTCTTTGTGTTTCAATTTAAGTATAGTTTATGGAGAATAGTAATTTTTAAAAGAACATATTTTGTCTATCTGAAAAGTTACTAACTTGTCATTTTAAGTTTTGAATATTCAAATTTGAAGTTTTAAACTCAAAGGACATATATAAAAAGATGTGAAATATATTTTTTTAAAAATAAAAGTGGACACTTATTTTAAGACAGACAATGAAGAAAAGCACGACACTTATTTTGAAATGGAGGGAGTACGTAATTTACGAACAATTGAACCATCTAGAGTTTGAAAACTATTTAAAAGTTCAAAGTAATTAGTATTTGGTTTGGTTTGGTTTGATTTTTCCATTTACAATTTGAGCACAAATGACATTGATTTGGATTAAAAAAAAAAAAAAAAAAACACTCATAAGGAGTATATAATTAAAAAATGTTATCTATTTGGATTCAAATATTGTGCCTGATTCGTGTAACAGTTTTGACTCCACGCTCAAGTTAATTACATTGCATTATATAGTACTACTCTTTGAAAAAATGTAATTCATTATTATTATTTTTTTAAGTGAAGGAATATGAAGATACTATTAGTCGTTAAAAAATAATAAATGGTGCTAAAGAGATTGGGAACAAAAATTTTAAAGTAATAATAACAAGATCAAGTAGTATCACAAATAAAATTCAACTAACATTTGAAATTAATAGATCGGTGCAAGTACAAACTATTTCAAGCAGCTCCATCCATGGTAATTTTAATTATTTAATTAGATTTTTTTTTAAGAGGGTATTTAATCGGAGTTTTCTACATCCCATGTTGCCTATATACACCTTTTGCATGAGCCATAATTCTATATAATTTATCTAGGCTTTTTCCACTAAGCCCAAACCCATTCCTCTGGATTAAATAACTCCAAACCCAAACTATGATTAATTAAAATAAAATAAACTAATTAATTAAATAAGCAAATTGTACATAAACAAATAATAGCAAGTAATGCACATTAAATAATTAAAAATAACTTAATTAATCAAATAGCCACCTAAAACAAATAATCAAACAACAAATTAATACCATAATCGTTTAATAAAAATAATTAGCCAAATAAAATAATTAAAAGACAATTAAAATAATAAATTAAATACTCAAAAGATTAGGAATATTACAGTTTGCACCTAATTTATTTCGCCCCGATATAAACACCTACCATATACATAAATTAACACATATTATTATAGGACATCTCAACTCGTCTCATGAATTGATCACGTCATTTAACAACAAATTCTATTGACATAAGATGTCAAATGTCAATTATCGTCCACAAATAATTGGTATGAAAGGCATAAATCACAACAGTACTAAATTGGTGCCTTAACATTAAAATTGGAGTAAATTTAATTTAAACTTTAAATTATTATTATTTTTTTAATTTTAAATTCAATATACCGATTTGATACTTCAAACAAAACACTAGTGATTAACAAGTGATTATATGTAAAATTGAGTTTGAATTGTTGGATTTAACTTGGGAAATAAAAACCGTGATATCGTTCTAAAAAGAGAGAGGCCGCTTTGACAAGCTCTTGCCTTGACATCCAACTTGAAATACTCTCAAGAGTTATGTGTAACGTTTCTACTGTGCCTTCTAACAAGATGATGTACCAATATACCATGAACATGGTGTCTCATATTTTAATAATTTAAGTATACAATCAATGTTTGAATAAAAAATAAAAATATTATAATACTGTGTACATATATTTTGAGAAATAGTTTGAAGAAATTAATAAATCACTCCAAGTAGATACAATGGCGACTTGTAATTCTGGTAGAATAAATTGAATGATTTCACTAAATAATTCTACGAAGGTGGAGAACAAACAGTACCACTTTCTCTTAACACGCGTGCCCAATCATACATAAAACATCACCTTAATTCTGAACTCATCTGTCTTAAAATCTCTTATTATCGTTTTAGTAAAATATACTATATAAAAACAATTTAGTAAAACAAACAACACAAAACTGGATAAGCAACCGGTATACATCATAATATTGGTTTCACATTCTTACAACACTCCCACAATGATGAAATAACACTTGTGGATGCACTACGATTAATGATTGAAATCTACTCTCTAGAACTCTCTATTCAAGAAAATGTAAACATATTTATTAAGCTCTTTATTCTTTTAGAATATTACCTACTTTCTCGACCAATCGACTAGGATATTATACGAAGGGGGCAATACTGATTTTTTTTTAATAATTTTAAATGAGGCAATAGTAATTTGTTAAGAGTATAAATCAATTGTTTCAAAGTAAAGACTGGTTCATAATTGAACTT